GAGCACTTTTGGCAGTCGAGTACGGTACATCACCGCGCAAATGTGATAACGAGCTGCAAATGCCGGCAAAATTACAGGCGGCTTGATTTCAAGCAGAAATATAAAAGACTTTGCAAAGAATTCAGGGTGCCTGGTGAAAGGCTCCCGAAGCCCTGCGTGGAGCGGTGTTATTCAGGAGTTTGTACAGAAATTATGTCACTTCAACCATGAGGAGGAGGCTTTCTGCTTTTGAATAAGCGTTTTTCACGGGTGTCGTGTCGACACGCTACATTTAAAGTCTTTCAAAGCAGGAAAAGAGAAAACCCAAAGACTGCTAAAACTCGAGAGACGGTATGCACAGTTTTAATTTGGGTGCATGCACTACAATTTTCATCTCATGAGCGGCAATATGTTCTTAATTTTAATCATAGGCACATTTTTTAGAAGAAAATTTCCGGCAATCAGTGTCTAACACATGCCCCCCTTTCCGTACACTCAAAAACGCCAACTTTGCAGAAAGAGAAAATTCACTACCAGTTCTTTTTGTCCATTTGTTTGAGTGCAGTTCACTTTAGAACATTAATGTGATGCATTTAATGTTCGATGCTTGCACCAGATGCACTGTAATGACATAAAAAATAGTCAAAGTAAGAGATGTGCTTGAGGCATCTAGATGATATCCCAGCCTAAGACACATCAGATGACCCATTCAGCAGCCTGGTTGCTGCTATTACTGTATTTAACCAGTAAGTAATCCACTCTACAGTCTCATTTGGAAGTTTTTATCCAAACAGTAACCACCGATGAAAAGAAAACAAGCCAAACTATGTGTAAGACCTCTGGTGGTCATGTGACAAAAAGCATATAAAATCATTAAACGATGGACGTTACCTTTTGGTCTGAAAAGTGATCGGTGCAGAAGAGCCTGTAACCTGGATTCTTTTTTGCAACCACCAGGGGGCGATACATGTGGTTGCAAAAAGACTGTAACGCATATAAAAACTGCGCTTTGACCCGCCACTATCATATATGGCTTCAAAACATTAAGATGGTGATGGTGAAAAATGCTCAACTCTCGTCTCAGACCAGAACTTCACAAACCAATGGGTGACATCACAGGAGCTGCATCTATCTTTTGCACTATGACTGGTAAATGTGGTAAGCTGTAAAAAGGAGCCACATAACATGTGCTTCAAGTTGTCAAATGGCGCCTTTTAAACCAAACATGATCCTTTGAATGTAGCCAAGATTTATTTATCCTTTCATTTTTTATTTGTTTGATTAACCATAACTTAGTGCTTATCAAAATGTAAGCAAAATATTTCATATTGGAAAGTTAGGACCTGAATTTGTGACCTGATCACTGTGAAGGTCCCAGCATACTACTGCATGGTAGTATGTATTTTCTGCATGTAGGTGCTAATATGTTATCTAGCTGTATAGTACCACTTTGGGGGCACTATCAAAAATATGTGAAACAGCCACAGATTGTATATAAAAGATACACAAACATACAGTCTGTCAGTA